TTTTTTTTTTTTTTTTCTTTGGCATAGCTTTGAATTTATTTGCATTGCCTTCTTCCTATCCCTTTCTTATGGTATGAAGGCAAATGGAACGTTGGCTGAATCACAAATTCCTACAGTGACCAAAGCCTTAGAGGTAGTGTAAGGACAAGTCCGAGGTGCCAAACCTCGGGCTGCTACAGTAACTCCTTTATGACCGAAGTAAGGAATAAATCCAAGGCTTCCTGCTCAAATAGCTGCATAACAATGGCAATAAGCATGCCTGCACTTGATTCCTTATAATGAGTAGCACAGCAAGTATGGTGGACGCTTGTGCATCTAAATACCTCTCAAATTCCCGGTCCCGGAATAATCGTCTGGATGGACACGTCTGGCTCCGATTATCTTGCTTGGCATGACACGTAGGTTCCTCAGTGAATCCTATAAATACCCCCCCGGGCCACGTCAAAAAGGTAATTGAAACTAACCCTAAGTTCTTTTTATCTCCGCCCTAAAGGTAGCCCTGATTATTGCTGACTTAAGCATCGGAGTGTCTACCCCGAGTTCCACCTCGGGGCTTTGCAGGTCCTCCCGGAGTGCAAGCGCGGACTGGAGAAGGATTTCTGGTTTGGTGCAATTACAGGTAGAATTTGTTCCTCTTATCTCTTTTTCTTTGTGCATCAGTGCATGCATGATTTTTTTAGGCAGAGCAAAAAATATTCCGAGATGAAGAAGAAATTATTTATCATAAGATACTTGATAATACCAAGTTTAGGAAAGCACCTTTCGTGCCTGAGTGACCTCTTATCTAAGAGATCTACAGGGAAGGTTTGTTCTAGGATGGAAAGGGTCAGCTTTATTTTTATTTTTTATTTTTACCAACATCTAAGTCTGATAATTGTTGCTGTTGGATCTAAGTTGAAGTTTGAGCAGAGTCAATGATTATCTGCATTTACAACTTGCTTGATAGGTTTCCCTAGATAGTGTAACCTACTTGTTTTATTTGCTGGTGCTATAGTGGTTCAATTAGTCACATCTTTATCTTCATAAAACTATTGACATCAAGTGCTTCTACTTTTACTATTGATAATTATGCTCTGGTTTGACCATAGCAAATTTCTAACTCGGTATTTTTCTTGTAGGAAACTGGGGAATTTCCAATTTAAAGGTCCAAGTCCTTTAGGGTATTGGTACAGTGGAGGTGTGTATAACTTGTTCACATGAAAAGTCTAATATATATATATTTTTTTCTTTTCACTTCTCATGAACCCCTTTAGGCCATCTATAGGGTCATTGAGCCAAATAATTAACTGGTTCAACATGGAAAATGTATGATGGGATATAACATATATGTAGTATTTTCATGACTATGCTTAATGAAATTTGCAGTGCCATCTATTGACTTCACTTAGTCTTTATGGGTTTGCCAGAATATGATTTATCCATGGAATCCTATATATTCTGTTATTTTTTAAATCTTAATGTATCTGAGCTAGAGATTTTGGCTGCTGTTGTGGGGAATGACCCTTGTCTTCCTCACTATTTCAGTTAACCAAATAGACCACAGTTCAAGCTACCGGAGTGGCTTCCACTTTAGTTGAGATCATACAGGGTGCAGGATTAAAGTTGCAGACATTGAATTTGAGCTTTGAGGCTGAAGAGGATATCCTTGTGCAGACATTTTGTCTAGTCTTAAACTACAAAAAGAGGAGAACAAATTGTACTTTTGAAGCACTGTGACTTCCCTCCTTCCTTCTCTCATCTTTTCCCTTTTCTGTTTGGTGTCTGGGGCTGGCCTTTAGGGTTTACCCCAGCTGCTTGAGAGAAGCTGTATACAGTTCATTTCTGTAGCCTGGACTGCACCCCTTGGTGTTTGCTTTGAATTTGCTTAAATGAAATGATCTGTGTCATTAATCATTATTCTTGCAAATTATATTCAACTTACAAGATGCCAAATTCCATCTTACAGGAAGAAGGCTGAATTTTCACAAGAACTAAGTCCTGATTTGATGTCTTTATCCTACAAAGTCTGGTAAGGTTCACTCTAATCAGTGTGACCTCTAGTTTTCCATCCTCCAATCCAAATCTGTAGACAAGTTGATACCTTGAGAAGTTTCAGGTGCAGGACTTCTTATTTCTGGTACGTGTCTAAATTTGAGGAACCGTCATGTTTGAATTTTCCCATTTCTGATTTATAAGGATGTAATATAATATAACCATGCAAATTGTTGTACCAAAAAATGTTGGACTATGCTGCTCTATGGAGAAAACTTTGGATACTCAAAACCTTCATTCAGCAAGTACATCATTATTTTCTGGAAATGCAATCAAATATTAGGATCAATAGCAAAATTCCTATAAAATGGGAATGTTTCATTAATCCTTTTCATGTTGAATTAATGACATTATATTTTTAGGGTACACTCTGAAATACTCTGACCTTCTGGTGCATGCATGCAGACGAAATAATTGGAAGTTGTTCTGATCTGATCTGATCTGAAGAGGGTAAATTATGACATACAGCAAAGTTGCAGCTGGCAGCTACTACCCATTCCCATAAAGATGGGATGGACCCTGTCTAAGCTGTAAGCCTCCTTAAAAACTGAGCCTGATGTTACCACCACCTACCGCAGCTTTTTTCTCTTTATCATGCTCCATCTGAAACAAATGTCCTGCGTAGAGCTTGAGCCTAGAGCTGCACCAGGTCATTACATGCATTGCATTAACTAGTTTGCCTTTAATATGTTTCCTTTGTTTAAGGGTGATTCATTTCTGCATAGCAAAACCTAGTACCATATTATACTTTACAGTTTCTAATTTCTATGTTAATGCCTAAAACTAGAGTTTTTTTTTTTTTTTTTTTTT